TTCCAAAATTTTACACTGTTTAGGGAAAACAAATTAAATATTTAATTACCAATTGCTTAATACTGGCAGACAATCATCTGACCCATAGGTGGCAGCCATCTGAAGCCAGAGGACGAGAGGACTCTAGCCGCCACGCATATAAAGGATTTATAGTGAAAAACTTTGTTTTTACGGGTTTACTTGTTAAATCCTTTATATTAAGTTCACTTGCTTGCTTGCTTAGGACCGTGCAAATCTTTCCGTCGTTTTTTAACCCACTTCCCGTGATCCAATCGAGCTGACATTTTCCACACAGACTCGTTGTGCGTGACAATTAATGTTCGTTAAAAAAATTCCAAAATTTTACACTTTTTAGGACAAAAATATATTTAATTACCAATTGCTTAATGCTGCCATGCAATCATCTGACCCATAGGTGGCAGCCATCTCAAGCCAGAGGACGAGAGGACTCTAGCCGCCACGCATATAAAGGATTTATAGTGAAAAACTTAGTTTTTACGGGTTATACTTTTATTATTTTATTTTAATTTCATTTTTTACCTACGTGACTTTACCGAAACAACTTAGAGTATGACTCCTTGCAGTCACGAAAGCTTCAAATCTAGAATTGAGGTGGCGTTGTGAGCTGTGGTGCCGCGTGGCTTCCACGATTCCGATCTCAATCCCCAAAACTCGAGCCGCCTGAGGTCGCTTGCGCCAGTTGCCCCTTCAGACGGCGGTGGAGGCGGCAGTGAATTAGGGCACAAATTTCTTGGAAAGGCTTTGCTAACGCGTTTGAGTCGTTTGCTCTGCAGACGAACCCACGCCCGGCGGCGTCGATAAGGTCTTAAATTTCGGCGCTGTTCGATTCCGTGGATTTAGCTTCCATCCGTTAAAAAAGAACATAAATTAAGGAGCACACGCCTTGAAAAAATAACTAGGCCACGCTCAAAAATCAAGTAGACGTGGTCGTTTGCAGACAATGTAGATTTTAGATGAAGGAAAGTCAATTTTATTTTCGCTTTAACACCTGCGCGCCTATGTGGCACGAATCGGCCACCCAAAGTGCCATCACATTAATTATCGTACATCTGTTAAGATGAACACCTAATATATATTTAAACCCGGCGCGTCTGTTTAAATTAATTAAAATGGTAAGGCAAGCTGGTCTGTCATGATCGCACCTTTTCAGGGCTACATCATGGGACCTCCTTTGCCAGTACCAAAATATGAGAATAGGTTTTTCCCTTTTTTTCTGGCAACAAACAGGTGCACAGATGTTAAAACACCAAACTGAAACCTTTTCACAAGGAATCATGTCTGCATTAACCACAATGCTTGTAGTCAAAATGCAAACAAAAAACATACTTTGATAATATATGCATTGTCTTTGAAACGGATTGGTCCACACCATTCCTCTGATAGTGCATTGTCTTTGTGCTGTACGCCTTTTGGCGTCCTCTGGTCTAACACCGTTTTGAGACTAGGCTCAAAAGAAAGCTGTCTTTTCTGTTTGATTGTGCCTGCACCATCTCCCCACGGCCCCCACGGCCGCACAAAGAACTTCATAACTTAATTAGACCCACGTAATACTGACCACTCGGCACAAGAAAACTCCGGTCGGTGCGACGTCCTGTGTTCTCAAGTTGTATTCCAGACCGACACACTCATTTTATTGGAGGGTCGGGGTGAGAAAAAACAAATCTACCAAAAATATGTAGAGGTGAAAAAGAAAAAACATCGATTCTCGCATCGAATCACCGGTGGATACATAATTGTGACCGAGGGATTGCGAGTTTGTGGGAGGCGACTCGTGGAGTTGATACATAATGTGCACACATAATGTACACACGTAATGTACACACAATGTACATACACAATGCACATACATATGCAAAATGTGTATTCAGAATGTGCATACATGACGTGCATGCATAATGTGCATGCGTGATGTACATACATTACCTATGTTGATTAACTGTGAATAACCCAACCAATAATTAGAGATACCCCCCCCCTGGTCTTCGCACCTGATTAGCTCACAAGCCACGTTCATCCCCCGCTCTATTGAAGACGGAAACAGGGGGAGGAGGCTTTCTCCACAACTCTGTCTGTCGCCTGATGATGCTGGTTGTTGTAATTGCCGGCGAAACGTCACTGTAGTCGTTTACGCGATAACCCTTACTAATTGGCTGTGTCGGATGGTAGCGGGTTTAACGACACAGCATTTATATTTACGCGATCTAACCCCACCCCCCCCCCCCCAAAAAAAACCTCTCTATTGTGGATTATATTGGTCGCGAAAGCCCTCTGCTGCTGCTGCGTGTTCAACGCAGTCGGTGCTGTTCGTACGCCTCACCACGAGGGGGCGACTCGCGGTTAGCAGCAACAGCGATTCAACACAAGACTTTAAAAAAACTAAAACACATTTGTTTATTTGACCAGGTACTGTATAAAGGCCCCAACTGAGCTACACAGCTCTTTTTCAGAAGCGACCTGGTTATCACAAATGATAGCTCAACGAAGTGGCTTGTCGCGTGGAAATTCATCGCAGCCAAATATTATGAACGCGTGACGTTGATTCTAAACGTGGAGGGAAAATTCGGAGGATCCGGAGACAAAATCCACGCGACCACAGGGAGAGAGAGACACACAGACGACACATATACAGGCGTCGGGGTCAAACCCACGACCTCCTGTATATCAGGCGAGGTAGTTAACATCTCGCCAACGCGGCGCCCGACACTAACGTCTCACTCAACACTTTCCATAACTGTTGCCTAAAAATAAAAATAAAACATGCATAATAAGGCGATGCTTTGGGCAACGGTCCTTCTTTATAGCACGTAAATTATGCATGTATGCGAGGTATTTCATTATCAATTGTTTATTTATTTTATGTGTCGTTGTGCTACACTGCCAAATGCAGTGTCGGCAAATAATGTGCATGATTAATGCCGGGGCTCGTGAAACGGGACACGAGCAGAGACCAAGACCATGGTGACATATGACCGTGGTGCAGGGGAGGTGGGTGATCAGTGTCAGAGTGGAGTTACTAACCAATCCTAACCCCAACTAGACAACCACCCACTACAACTAACACTTACCCTAACCACCAAGCCAATCACACACTCGTACTAGCTCTACCACCTCGCCCACGGCTCTCTGTAAGGACTGCTTCGTGACATTTCTGATGGATGCGCATTGCTGCACTTGGAATATCAAGGTTTTTTTTACCGAATTAGAAAAAAATGTGGCACTTATTGTTATTTTGGTTGCCGACCCCTGACCTAGCCAATCATCGTACTAACTCTACCCCTAACTCTAACTACATAGCCAACAAGACACTCGCACTTGCTGTCCTCATAACCTCTCATCCAGCTGCCCAGCCAGCCACTCATGACGCCCTCTGGATACTTAACGAGAAACTTTTCGAGAAGGTGCGAGGCGGCCCCACACACTTCGCCACGGACGCATTTCACCTTCGTTGGGACTCATCAGCGAACCGAACCCCCCACCCACAGACTGCCCAGCGACAGCCAGTCGGAACCGTCTAAAGCAGCGTTCTTCATTGATCAATGCCCGCGGGGCCAAAGTGTGAAGACACCCCACCACCCATCATCATCATCGTGCTGTGGTCAAACCCAACAATGGTTTCAAGCGTGTGGCGGCCCTCACACCTATGATGTCTTACCGGCGATGCACTCACTTCACCCTGCGAACCCTATACGATCGCTGCTCTTGTAGGGTTCCTCGTATTTATGAGAGATCGTCAGGCAACCGTGGACAACTTGAGACTGCCTAGGAGAGAGCTCGGGAGAGATTGGGTCCCGAGAGCCAGCAGCCAGCAGTCTCGCTTTCATCGGTACCGCAGAGGGGTTTGGCATTCGGCTGATAATCCATCTCTGGAACATTGCACCTTTAACGCCACTCGTGTCTACGATATGGCAAGGTCGGCGTGGAAGTCGATGAAGACATATATACTGTCCATACTGAAAAGCAACCGTAGTATGTTTGAGATATAATATCGTGTTGGGCACATGCACACATGAATAGGAAGAGAGCACCGCGTGCAAAACGGCGTGTACTCTTCAGCTTGTGGACGCTCTCCAAGGTGGGCACTGCGTGCAAGGTGGACACTGACCGTGGTGGACAGTTCCTAAGGTGGACACTACCTGTGGTGGACACTGCTCAGTGGTTGCTAGCCGTGGTGCACGCTGCCCAAGGTGGACACTGCACGTGGTGAACATTCGTCTAATTTTCCACCACAGGTGATACCGACCAAGCCCCTTGACTCACGCACTTATTTATAGCCGACGAGGGTTGCGAGTTATGGGAGCGTGGCGGTATTGCGTACACGATGTTACATAACACGGTCACCTGCGCGCCTGAGCCGCATCGTCTGATGTTATCGCGCCCTTTTATAGCCTCGGTATAATTACTTTTAAATATTACCCAGGTCTCCCTCCCTCTCACACAGCATCGTTCCATTGGGGTCCCTTCTGTTGACAGGGCGGAGCGTCAGTGATGAGTTTTGTCGGACCCGCTTGATGGGCTCCCTCAATTCGTCACCTCGCCGTACTGACCTGGATGGTGAAGTATGGTCAAACAATGCCCATGACCGATAAGGCATATATAGGGAGGCCTTCATCCAGCAGCGCATTCACAAAAATATGCAAATTGTTACTTTTTTATTGTTATTACTCTACACACGTTGAGATGTCCACTGAAGATTGAATCTCAATGAGGCTTCGCCTGGTTAAATAAGGGGCCGTGGGTGGGAGGCTGCTTTGGAGGGTGATAGGTAAATGATTAATGTCCGTATTAACGAGCTGCAGGGCGAATACGTTTCACATGAGGACTTACACATTTACGCTTTGGCCACTGAATGTTACGATGTAATAATGTCGTGCCTTTGCCAATCCACTGCTGGATGAAGGCCTCCTCCATCTCACACAAAACACCCGCCAGAGACGTCGACAAGTGAAAACAACGACATACTTTATTCATATAATTTGTGCAAAAGGCAACATTTTCTTATCCCTCACACATGAACGGGTAACAGCGCACATTCTCCCACTCCCGCGCCCCCACGCCCGGCCCAGCTAACCCGGCTTCAACAAAATAAATTTGACCACAGTTCACACGCTAGTAGGTAGTAAGGGGCAGCGCAGAATTTGCATTCGTCTGTCAATGCACTTGAGAGTTGCCCGTCGATGCTGGCCTAGGTACGACGCGTCGCCACGGCAGCCACACACATTTCACCTTTGGTTAACAAGAAAATAACGATCCAAATATACATACGAGCGATATTTAGCAAGAATTTTGGATTTACATTTACTTACCAGGCATGTCATAAAATAAAATAATTGACCTTAAGACACCCCCCCCCCACCCCCCTTAAAAACAAGTATGGTCGCTACACTAAAGACTTTAGACTTTTAAAAAAAATCCGTTTAAAAAAAATATTCCTGCATGTAATCCAGGAGCATAATTGTGACGAAACATACAAAAATAACAATGCTGGAGGGGAGAATACAACCTAACTACATTCTAGATAACTCGTGTATTCATCTGAAATATAATGCCCCTGAATAACCTCTTGTTATGAACAAACTCCGGATCGACGCCCTGTGCATCACCACCAGTGCTAAAGCAGATGACCTCAGAAAGCAAAGTCGGTTTTTTCTTTTTTTCCCCCAAAACCAAATTCTACGACACCTCTTCCCCGCACGTACAATCAACGCAGAGAGCTCTCCAATCCCAGGCAAGTGCGTTATTGCCATTTATATCACATCTCGTAACTGCGTCTCTGGGGATGCTAAGATGCTAAAGTGATTACACCTCTTTGTGGAAGGTCAACAGAGATTGTTGTTGGAAGAAAATCGACCCAAGCCACAAACAAAACGCGTGCATTTCCCAACACTGGCTTAGGGCAGTATAATGGTGTGGAGATACCCGACCTTAAGCTGATGACTTTAATGTAGTGAACCCAACGTAGTGAACCCAACGTAGTGATGACGCGGCCGGAGGTGGACGCGAACTGGAATTGACACTCGGCCAACGTCTGCAGAACACCCTCTCTCTTCCCAACGACAGCATCGGAAGAACACGAGACCCTGGCAACAAGAGTCTGAAACTGAGCCTGTGTGTTGACAATGGAGAGGAGAGGGCTCCACGCAGCAGGGTTAGTGCATCACACCCACGGGCGTAAATTTTCCAGCCAACTGGCTCCCCCACCCACCCTCCCTCGCTCCGCCGCACAGGCAGTCGGCGTCACAGCGGGGCCACGACCGCGAGCGCCGTCTTCATGCGATCCTCCAACCCCGAGCAACGAGTCATTCATTGGCACAGCACAAATCCCCGTTGCTACCAGTGAACTAATGTTTACATCGCTATTAAGGCAGCTAGAGCTAATATTTAAATTAATGATTTTTTTTTTTACAGTTTTGTTATAGATCTATAAGTTGTGTGCGTGTATGTACACATACATATATACTGTATATATACAATACATGATGCTCATGGGCTGTTGTGCGCAAACTGTCAATTCAATTGTCATCTGAGCCCAACGGTAAAAAAGCAAAAACTATAGAATATGACGCGATTAATCGTAACGTACGAAAGCAAATCCAGAGAGAGAATACATTTCTTCTGCTCCAACATTTCTACGGGGAAGACCCAGCAAAGTAGCGTTTAGTGAAACCGTCAACGACACCCACGCGGTCGCAACGCTGACAAAAAAAAAACCCCGGGGGGGAAGCTGCACGGCCCCCCCCCCCCAACCCCAAAAACCAGCCGCTGGCGGGCCGCGGACCCGTCGCTAAAAATTGCACGTGAAGGCTTTGATTTGAAACGAAGCTGGGCGAGCCACGGGGTAGGCGACGGGCGACGGGGAGAGCGACCGGGGGCGTCACCGCGTGGAGGCGAGTCCAGATTGTGCCTCGCTTGTCTCGGCACTCAAATTCCGTCAGCAGCTCACAGCGCAAATTGCCGTGAGGGGGGCAGGGGGGCAACCCAACAACAGCGTCGCCAAGGCCAGGTCTCCACTCTCTGTTTTAAAGGCGCAACCAAAAAAAACCAATAACTCTTTATCTAGGCTGCGTGACCTTCGCGGTCAGAAACGAGTTTTGAATCTCTGTTGGTGAAAAATGAAGAGTTTAAAGCGACTCTCAGGTGACACCCCACCGTAGATTGAGCTTGAACAGCATCCTTGCGGAGGTGCCCTGCGTTAGCGCCCTGCTGACATCACTGCAATGCTATAGTAACTAAACAGGCACAAATCCACAGCCAATAACGCGTTTGACAGTAACTTTAAGTTTCTCGTCAACTAAAAGTACATCACCCAGCACACAACCTGCCCATGTATCTACAAGGGATCATCTCTTTTTTGGGCTATGTACTCCCAGGGCTTGATTTGTCACTGAATATGTTCTGGGTCACTCCGAGACTGGTGTAAGTGGCACGTGACTGGCAGTAGCCACAGCACTGCAGCGAGAGGCATACTGGATGTGGTGTGCCGGGTGCCGTAGTCTTTTCCAGGCCACCGACACGGTCAGACCCAGCTGTAATCAAAGCCCCGCGTAATCCTTTCACAACGATGAGAACGTGGCAAGGCAACGTCCGTAACGCGAGGTCCACAAGAGCAACGTCAAGCGGGTGGCAGACGAGGGAAGGCCGACACGGAGTGGGGAGGTTGGGGGGAGAGGGAAGGGGGGACGCTCTCTCAGTTCTCAACAGGCGTCGGCGCGGGCGGGGGCGGCGCCGGCGGCTGAATCGGCGTCACCACCACTTGCACCACGAAGTCGCGCGGGATCTTCAGGTCGGCGAGCGCCACCCGGTCGGCCAGCAACCGCCCGGCGAAGAACCAGCGCTGGCGAGTGGGCTCGAGCGAGGGCTCGGCGATGCAGAGCCGCCGCTTGGCGTGCGCCACCATGTCCGTGGTGCGCGCCGTCAGCGTCACGTCCTGGCCAGTGGAGAGGCGCAGGCGCAGCGGGTACTCGCGCCCGCTCGCCGAGTCCCCGTCGGCCGCGATGGCCGCCGCCGCATCGTCGTCGTAGGCGCCGCCGTCGTCCTCGGTGATCAGGTTGACAGGTGGCACGAGGCAGTAGACGGGCAGCTGGTAGCGGTTGCCCAGTTCGTCGTAGCAGTCCGTCAGCGTGCCTGCGCGTGCGTGGCGAGGCGAGGGACAGGGAGTCACCATCGGGGATCGGTGCCAAGTTTACTTTCCCGAGGGGAGAAGCAGCACTGGCAATTTAACCGTTTAGAGCGTTTGTAAAGTGACCGAAAGGTTTTTCACAGTTGTTGCAGGTGATAACATTGAGTTCTAACAAGCAAATATAGTGCAAGACGATGCTACTGCCATTATCTGAAATAAGTAAAACCTTATCTTGAAAGCATTCCGTGGCATCCTCAATCGTCTGAAATCCAAAATGATCCGACATCCAGAATTAAGAGGAAGCCTGAATTGTGTAGGATTTGGACTCAAATGTGGTTTGCAATATTGTGGAAAGTTGAATCACGTGGGATTTAAAACGATACGCAATGCAGGACACTCATCTTGTGAATCTGGAACCACGTACAATCTATAATCGCCGGAACACGGCGAGCCCGCGGTAACGCACCGTGCGGGAGGGAGATGCTGGCCCCGTCGGCAATGGCCTGCGCCAGGTCATAGTCGGAGCACTCGAAGGCGTAGGCTGCGGCGCGCAGTGCGTCCCAGATCTCCTTGCGGCCCTCGAATGCTGGCGCCGTGTCCCAGAACTCGTCCCGCTTGCTCCGCAGCTGCCCCTCCGTCATGGGGAACTCGCTCTTCCACTTGGGACGCTCCTTGCGCAGTGGCTGGTTCCGCCCCAAGGCCACTGTGGTATTCGGGGGGAGGGGGGACCCGCAAGGGGAAACCGGGGAGAGGAATCAGTTAAGGTCAAGAGGTCAGCACGACGCCTGTCACCCCATTGTCATTGATGCTGCCACACCTACGCATTGTTTCCCTTCCTTTTGCTTGATCCCAATTGTTGCACAGTCGACAATTGACCTTCGAGCAGCACACCGTCTGTCTAGGTCTTTCCGTCGGTTGCCGATGTTAACTATTTAGTCTCGTAATACATGGCAGATTTTTTAAAAAGTAACTAATTTTCTCCCCCAGGTTATTTTTTTAAACTTCATTGACATGCGACAACAAAACACCTCTCCATAGCTGACAGTGAGCAGTCCAGGATGATGTCGTGCGAGACAACAAGCCATGACAGATGAAGTGACATAATCAAGGCCAAAGAGCGCTTACTTGCACACGGCACCTCTTGTTCCCACATGTTTGCATCGTCTTTTTCGATTCGCGTGTTTTTGTGTCACTGTTGAGACTAACAAAAATGGAGCTTACCGCCACCGGCAGAGGCGTCTCTTGCTCTCATATTGTATTTGCAGTTTGTTTGAGTCTTGTGTGTTTTGTTTACGGCCATTAAATGCATCATTTGTGAATTGTGCAATATTCCTTAAGGCACCTGTACTCGTCCGCAATATTGACTTTTATCCTTGTTGTGCTGCTGCTGCTGTGCTCACACAAACGCCACGGATCTCCCTGGTAAAATAGCCAGGGAATCTGGCGAAATGGGAGCGTCATCCGTGCAACAAATCGAATTTAAAAAAATCAAACAACTTGACAAAAGGGGGACACCTTCCATAACTCTCACGGTGAGCAGGGACAACGCACCGTCGTGCCACGAGGAGGTGACACCACAGGACTAACAAGAGGCTCGCTGACTGGCACAGGGCGGAGAGTCTATGAGCCACGGTATCCTGCGGAGGAATGCGTCGTGGCGGCGAGATGGCTCGGGGGGGGGGGGGGATGAGACACGGAGACGCCACCACCGCTGAATGACTGGGTTTGATTCAGGGATTCAGCAAGTTTGTTTTATATTTTACCAGGTAAGGCCCACCGAGCTACGTAAAATCCTTTTCAGAAGCAACCTGGGCCACCACAAACGATAGCACAACGAAGTGGCTTGTCGCGTGGAGGTTTATTGCAGCCAAATACCGTGAACACGCATTGATTCTAAATGTGAAGGGGAAAAAACCCGGAGGGCCCGAAGAAAAATCCACGGGAAGAGAGAACACACAAACTCCAAATACACGGCAGGCATCAGGGTCGAGATCGAGTCGATGGTCTCAAACCAGTCAACGACGACTGCACGACAAAACACCCTCGACGTTAAATTAGCTCTTCACTTCATTTGCCTGAACTCCAGCTGTCAGATTCGCACGACTGCTTGAGTGACACACAACGAACACCATTTGCAGGGTACGTAACAAGTGTCCTCCTAGTGTGGACGAATAGCGATATTGATTAAGTGACTTCTTCAGCAGTTCTGTGATGTCAAGCAGCCGTCCTCAGCCGTCCTTGTGTTGTGGCCGAAACGTCGTGAGAATTTAATGTTTTCTTTTTTATTATTTTATTATGTCCCTTCTACGTGATTTTACTGACAGATCCAAGAATATGAATCCCTGCAGTCACGAAATCTTTCAATCGAAACGTCCATTTCTTCGTCAACTCCAATCGACTGTGGTCATACAACCCAAACTATCGACCCACTTTGTAAACCAAAGTCGTGTGCGCTACTTCAATGAAGGAATAGCAAAACTCTCTGTCCTGAAGCTCCCCTTGTTATGGCCAGCAGAGCTCGACATTGGCATGCTGCTGCTGCTGCCGAGTAAAATATAAAGTGCCAGGGAAATTCTCCAACATCGGCTGGTGCACTACCTGTTGCAAGTATCATCTATGGAAATGTCTTGGTCTCGTGACGTACTGCTACCATCACAATTGGAATATAATTGGGACCTCGTGGGGGGGGGGGGGTAGTGGAATGGAAGAAACGTCAGCTGCTTGACAGCGTGTAGCAAATTACACTGCACCCACGCCCTTGAAATAACAAAAAAAACCTACAAACAAGTTCCTCTGAAAATAGCTCCTCATTGTGTTGAATAAATCGATTTGATTGAGATTCTCGCCGCAGGACTGCACTGTAATTAAAATGCTTTAGAAATTATATTTTTTACGTACATGTGTTTTTTTTTTAAATATATAAAATACTGTATACAGCCACACGTCCTGCTGGCTCCTAAAACACCAGCGGAGAAACCCGACACGCCGGGGTGCCGGTAGGTGCGCGTGGGGCCCACCGCACGACCTGTCCCGACCTGTTCGGCACAGTGCGCCGCGAGTTCACGCTTCGGGAGCCGCGTGAGAGACGCGCTATCGTTTGCGCTCACCGGAATTAAAATGCGAAGCAATACGATGAATCAACCACACATTTACGCACGCGCGCACACACACACATGCGCGCGCACCTCGGCCACGTATGTCACTGCGCCCCTGCAGTGACTTGAGCACGCTAAAGTTAGAAACGCAGTGTTGTTGCCAAGTCGAAAATATCTCCCCCCTACAAAACCCGATCAGTGCGACCGCTGATGGACAAACCACGGTCTCCCTGCAGGCCGATTCGAAGTGGGAGGCCGAATGCGGTCACCGGACGCGAAGAAACGAAGTCGCGAGCACGATCCAACTCAGGATACCGGGACACTCATTTTTTCTCAAACGAATGAAACGTGGGTTTCCGTTTATGCGATATGTGCAACCTGCACGTGGCAGGGTAGACAAGGAACTATTGATCCATTTACGTTCGCCCATGCACCAAATAGTGCGTCAAAGGATCGATTACACTTTACAGAAAATTATACGCCGATTCGCCTGCGGCTGTGTGGAACAAAAGACAGCGAAGAAACGAGACTGAGCACGAGATGGGGAATGCAAACACGACGGTGCACTATAACCGACTGTTGAATTGAGCTGTAATCCCGATAAATAACTTGTCAACCTGTGCAGCATCGAACATAATCTACGCATTGCTGGATACAGGCGTCTGCCGATAGCGTATCCCAGCAGCAGCCTACAACACCCGTTTTACGCAATGGTGGTCGCCCATCCAAGCACTATCCAGTGCCAGCCCTGCCGAGTTTCCAGGACAGTATTCCTAAACAAATAACAGAATCAGAAGTTCAGAAGTTTATTTACCCGAGTAGAGCCCATTGAACTCAAGGCACTCCTTGAAGGGCAAGTGGTGATAGCAGCATTATTAAGAGCCGTACTTTAACGAGCTATAACCCGCCAGGATGTACACATATCTAAATATAACCAGATGCAAGTCGAGTGACATCAGGGATAGGTCTGTCTCCCAAGGGAGACCTGGGGGTAGGGGTCTCTCTCCCAAGGGAGACCTGGGACACAACAACACAAACGAGCAGTAGGAGCACTTAGGCAAACTACCGCAGCCTTAAACCAACATCGGAGCACTTATCTCTCCGTCCTTCCTGAACGGCAGATAGCCCAGCTGCCCGCTATGTCCACACACGGCGGCGAGGATTTTTTTCATCATCATAGGCGCAAGGCCTTTGGACTCGGATGAGACGGTCATTGTGCACAAATAATAATCGGGCCAGTGTTTGGAAACAAAAAGCCCCCATCCCCACGAGTTATCAGCATTTCCTTTCGCCCGATTTCACATGACGGCTTTGTGTTTTTTTCCAACATTTTTTGAGAAAAGTGGGGTGGGGTTTTGTTGGGGTGGGGGGCGCGCATTATTTCGAACTCCCCCCCCCCATTCGGAGAGACAACAGCAGCAATACAAAACGTGGCAGCAGCGCAACCGCGACGGAGGCGGCAGCAGCAGCAGCAACACAGCCGCGGTTAACAGCAACACAACCACAAGCCGTTCATCCACCCGCATTCCTCCCGAGATGGGGGGGAAGGGGGAAATGCCAACAAAACAGCGCTGCTGCTGCTGCTGCTGTGGCTGGAGCAGCAGACACGGGCCTGGATCTGCGCTGGGGTCTGCATTCCAGAAGCGAGGCGATGATGATGATGTCGCCTTGATCCAAAACAGGTTCTCGAGAGGAGCCCGCTTGGCTCAGCTGCACTCGGAATTTCGAGCGTTGCAGCACTTTTTTTTCGGCAATGAAATGGCGTTTGGGAGCGAATAGTCCATTACGGATTTCGGCTTGCGAGCGCTTTCGGTTACCGCACGCGTCTCTGCATTGCCCGTCTCACATTTTCAACGCCTGTTCCCCCGTGATCTTGTTCCTCTATCGGTTGACCAACCTTCACCAATCGGCACGGACCCAAGTGTCGTCAAACAGGCCCCGACGACCGACACCGCGTGGCCGCGTCCTTCATCCAGCAGTGGATTGACAATGGGCAAGCAACGTGTACTGTAATGGGCTGTGACGAAACCTATCACATGTGAACGCACCGTGCGGTTTCAACATTGGCGCGTGCCAAACTGGCCCATAGTTACACTCAACAAGCGGCGTGGATTTGATTATAAATTCCACAATTTTTGGAATCATACATATTCTATGAACGATTATCAAAGAATCCATTAACAAGCCCAATTATGACATTCCGTTCCGTCTACGCGCCTGACCGAAGCTCTCATTTGAAACCGCACCCTTCCTCCCTCTCACCTCCGCCAGGCCTACTCCTCTTACCGCTCTCCAGCAAGACAATTCAGTTTTCAAAGGTCCGACCGTGAACGTTGTGACGTGGTAATGTACGGCTGTTTCATTCCCGTGGCTGAGATGCCTTGCTTTGATGCATCGTCTACGATTTACCAATCACATCTCATAAAACTTGTGCAACACGTGTGCAGGTGTCTCTTTTAACACCTTCTTTATGAAAACAAGTCGTTTAATGTGTTCATTTCGAACAATTTTTTGGGACTTTTTAAGAGCCAGGCATGGTGGCACACACCCCTGATCCAGCACTTTGGAGGCGAGCATTGGTGGATCACACAGATGTGTAAAACTCCCAAAGCTGCTACGCTGTCAGGTGGGCCCGGGAACTGCGGTTCACCACGTGGGTTTGTGAACCCATCTGTGCAGAACTTCGAGTGAATCCCCTCTGTCGTGAGTTTTATCCACGTTCTCCAGTTACCTCCCACCTTGAAAATGCTCAGGATCCTCCTGAAGAACCCAGACTTTCCTGGGTAAATTAAAGAAATTGCAATCAATATTTTGGAGGATAAACCGAGATGACTCATGATAGCGTGGTGGAATGAGCTATGAGGCTAGTGGATGTGACAAAGTGGCACAGAATAGAATCTGAGCAGCCGACCCCACGGAATTATGACTTTTGGCTTAGAAGAAGAAACGGCAGGGCGGTGACAAGGCAACAATAAAACACCAATGCCCCCTCCATGCACTGGGTTGAACCAGAAAAGTTGCCACGCAGTCCCCAGACTCGAAAATCCTGCTCGAGGCTCAAACGCAACCGGCAGAACCTGCCCGCTGCACCAACTGATGGGAAAAGCATTGGAATCTGAACAAAAAGAGGCAAACCCTTATTTGCAGTTGAATGCTGAATTTGATGAGTATGCGCGCGCACACACGTACATGCCTGTTTGTGTGTTGTGTGATGTTGCGTTCAGCTCAAGGACCCTCCCCTCAGACCAATGCCAACCGTTTTCTCATGGCGGCTGACAATCCGTGAGATTATCTGCCCTATGCAAGCAAGGGGACACGTTCGGAAATTTCCCAAGCCAAATTTGCTTTGCAACACTGGAAACCGCCTCGAACACGAGAAGGCAACGGGAAGATAGGGGAGGCGTTTTGCATGTTCGCACATACTCGGCGGACTTTTCTACGTTACACTGCGAGAATTTAAAAAAATATTCCGCGCAAAAACTAAAAAAACTGAAGCTGCTGGATTGTAGCCGGGCAGCGCAGGTTAATAATTGAGCCGCACATGGCAGAGCCGTGAGGTGGCCTGGCACCGTCAGCGCCGTCTGTCGTCCGCGAGCACCTCACCAGCTTCCCCTCTTCGCTCCCCACGGGGTTGGATTACGTGGCCTCCTTACCCCTTTGTAACCATCCCGACCTCGGGACGCAACTCTTTTCGCAAACGCCATCGCATCGTAGGCCTGACCTTTGCCCGAGCCAGTGCTACGTGGGACAAGGTTGGAAACATTCAACACTCGCCAGCACAAACAAAAATAAAAACTCACAACCTTCATTGTTGCCGCCGCTTTGTAAACAGAGAAGGGTTGCAGCAACAGTGGTTAGCAGGCTGCACTATGAACCTGATGAAGTGAGTTGGAGTCTCAACCATAGTTAATATCAGTGGCTAGCTATATTTGAACCGAATGTGGGCTAACCCATCTTCCCTGACCAACATGGTGAAAAGTATGGTCAAACAGTGTAGAGGCCTTCATTCAGCAGTAAATTGATAATAGACTCAGAATTATTTTCGACATAACAGAAACATACAGAGCAGTCCAAGACGGAGCACATATTGAAACTTCAGGATAGCGTATATTCAGTCATGAGGCGGTCTCAATAATGTAGGAGCGCTCTTTTGACATGTGCTTTCGCTGTCTAATAACTCTTGTCTTGACAGTAATTCAAATCTTGACTTCATGGTGGCAATGATGCAGCGTATAATCGTGGGCCCTGTTAAAATTTGACATTGGTTAGCTGGTGCGATTGACTTCTTAAATAAAACATTTACACGGCTGAAATGCATTAAAAAAAATCCCTGATGTAGCCTACAGATTGCTGCGGAAAATGCTGTCATCGAGTACCTAGGTAATGTTGTTCACACACCAGAGGCATTTCTCGTTTAAAGCTAAACTATTTTTTATTTTACCAGGTAAGGCCCACTGAGCTACATAGCTCTTTTTCATAACAACCTGGCCACAAATGACAGCTCAACAATGTGGCTCATCACGTGGGAATTTTTAACAGCCAAATACTCTAAACGCATGTCGGAGAAAACTCCACGCGACCACGGCGAGAGCATGCAAACTCCAAATGTACAGGTGTCAGGGTTGACAGATGTCAAGGGTTGGGATCAAACCCAGAACCTCCTGTATACCAGGCGAGGTAGTTCACATCTCGCTAAGCAACATATTAGAAGCTGACAACAGCTTCAGACTCCACTTGTCACTGCTGCTATCCAGGGTCCAGTAATCTTACTTGGCCTTGTTGGATTGCTAGTGCTGTCGTGAACCACCGCACCACCGTTCACCACATCATCGTCATCATTTAATATTTATACCGCGACTCCTGCGGCAGTACACCTCGAGGCGCGAGAACAAAGGGGCATTTGAGATTACGACAAAAGAATCACTCAGGAAGTGATTGCAGAACAAATGCAATGTGGAAAAATAAGCCAGTACTGCACAGACAATATACTGTACATCGGAAACACTCGAATAAACTAAATTGAAAGTCTAAACTGCGCTCGTGACCACACTCTTGTTTGTTCGCTTCATGGGAGTTATTCATATACCATCTGAATATAATACTCGCGACCGAGAGCGGGACATACATCTCGCGTTACATTTGTCAACAAACAAAACACTGACGCTGTGCAGGGATATGTCATGGTTGCTTTGGGGCAGTTTGTCCACGAGTAACGAGTTATGCATATGACACGGGAGCTGCAGCTGATCGATGTTTTAAGAAGCTATTAACCTCCCGCAGATGTGAAATTATTCAACCAGCTCGTGTGCACGTGTTAAGTTGACTTACATCACTGGAATGTGAGAGATGACGAGGGATTTGGGAGGCCTTCATTCAATACAGTAGTGAATTACTCATGACTCCTGATACCACCCAAGTCCGTGTGGCAGAATATGACCATTATCATCAATCACCAAGTCATGATTTATCCACGACTGCATGAAGAATTTAACCCAGCCATGCTGGTTCCCCCTCTTCACTGCTGACCCCCATACTTCTCCCAGCTCAGGCATGCCACTTTACTGCCCCCGTGCCCTGCCCTGTCTCCCCTGTTCGAGCACCCTACCCCAGTGGCCCCCCTCTGTCCCGTAATTATCCTCTGTGACATAATGATCATGCCAATGCCATTTATCCAGGAAAGCCTCACCGAGTCTCGAAACACGTGTCCAGGAGGGGCCCTGCTACATCCGAATGTTTGGACAATTCCATTTTCAAGGAGATTGTTTGGCTTTGTTTGGAAGGAAATCGGAGGAGTAACCAGGGAAATCCCACCAGGCATCAGAGTGCATAACACTCAAAACTCCGCACGCACGTGTCTACAAACCCTCCCGCTTTCCTGCCATATCCTGGCCACTGCTCTCGCAGCCCAGCGGATTTGGAAATTTCACGAGACATCTCGACGTGATCCCCTAACGCTTGCCTACAATGCATTAAATCACAGGTGACACCATACCACGCATTACTTTGCTACCCACTGACCCAATGGCCCTATGATGGCAACTAAATCAACCCCGCGATTCCCTCCCTTCATTCCACAGCTCGCAGTGTCCGCCTCCATCTCGATCGCGCGTTCCACCGTCATCCAACACATTGGGGCACCACGGTTGGCTATGTACGGCGCGAAGGAAGTTCAACAAACATTACCTCACTGACGGAATAACCCATGACCCTTCTCATCTGCCCTTTCTCTCAGTAACCACCCCACACACCCAACTCTCCCTTACGTGTTCAACCCAATATACTACCAAACACCCATTGCTACGTTTAACCATTGCCACCATCGCCTAAATGACCCGGCGACTTGAAGACAATCAACCCGTGAACTTCTTTCGCACCGTCCGTAGCCAACTGTGATAATCGGAGGGGCGGGAGAAGGACAACAAACAACACAAAAAACTGTTCTAAACCATTCCAACCACGCTTATGTGGCGACACTTTGGTATGGTGACAAAAACCCAATAACCCAATGCCCTGTGCCCCTGTGCGCCCGTCACCCCGTGAGTCCGTCACCCCGTGAGTCCGTCACCCCGTGAGTCCGTCACCCCCGTGTCTCTGTGCACCCCGTCAGCGCGTGCACACATACCGCCCGAGCCCCGTGAGCCCCCCACTTACCGCCCATGAGCCCCCCGAGCCCCCCACTTACCGCCCGTGTGTGCCCCGTGAGCCCCCCACTTACCGCCCATGAGCCCCCCAAGCCCCGCACTTACCGCCCGTGAGCCCCATGAGCCCCCCAAGCCCCCCACTTACCGCCCATGAGCCCTGTGAGCCCCCACTTACCGCCCATGAGCCCCCCAAGCCCCCCACTTACCGCCCATGAGCCCCCCAAGCCCCCCACTTACCGCCCGTGAGCACCCCGAGCCCCCCACTTACCGCCCATGAGCCCCCCGTGCCCCCCACTTACCGCCCATGAGCCCCCCGTGCCCCCCACTTACCGCCCATGAGCCCCCCGAGCCCCCCACTTACCACCCATGAGCCCCCCAAGCCCCCCACTTACCGCCCGTGAGCCCCCCACTTACCGCCCGTGAGCCCCCCGAGCCCCCCACTTACCGCCCATGAGCCCCCCGTGCCCCCCACTTACCGCCCATGAGCCCCCCGAGCCCCCCACTTACCGCCCATGAGCCCCCCAAGCCCCCCACTTACCGCCCGTGAGCCCCATGAGCCCCCCGTGCCCCCCACTTACCGCCCGTGAGCTCCCCGAGCCCCCCACTTACCGCCCATGAGCCCCCCGAGCCCCCCACTTACCGCCCATGAGCCCCCCACTTACCGCCGATGAGCCCCCCAAGCCCTCCACTTACCGCCCGTGAGCCCCACTTACCGCCCGTGAGCCCCATGAGCCCCCCGTGCCCCCCACTTACCGCCCGTGAGCTCCGAGCTGCCGTGCGCGCTCCCGGAGGTGCCGCGCCGCGCGCTCACGCAGCCGCCCATGTGGCAGCGTCACCCGCGCGCGAGGACGACAGCAGCAGCCTTCGCATTGGCAACCAGATAAAAGTAGTAATTACAACGCGCACGCACGAACGCACGCACTAGAGAAAGTAATAAAAAAAAACTAAAATAAATTATAATTTTAAATAAAAAATTGTGAACTCGAAGTGGACGAGGAGGAGGAGCGCTACGCGAACGGGACGCGGCGAGACGCCATCGCCGCGGGTGACGTCACGGGGCCACGTGATGCGGCGCACAGCTGACCGAGGTCGTGACGTGACTTCAGAGGGGGAGGGGGCGGGTTCGTACGGCGGCCATCTTTGTAAGGGACGGGCAAACGCGGGTTTCAATTGGCGGTCGAAGCGCGGCTCGGTGACGTCGGCAACATGCGCAGCCAATGGAGACCCTCGAAAGAGGGTTCTTACTCTAGTAAGATGGCCGCACGATGCGCGACTGTAATGGATTTAATATTGTTTTTTTTTACATATAAAATAAATAATTGTTACAAGTCGACCCTCTATTGTAAAGCCACTCAAGAGATACGTTTCTGAGTTTCGCTAACAATTAAAATAATTACGTCAAATCAAAATATAGTGGGGGAGGGGGGGCGAGGTGTGGGGGTTTGTAGGAACCTTGCAGGGTGATTGCTTCCGGGTTTTAGGTCAGAGGTCACGGAGGAGGGGGAACGCGGTCCACATGGCAGCCTCGCACGTGGCCTCGGGGCTTGCGGAGCCCGCGGCGGGAACCGAGTCCGTGGAGCTGCGAGAGCTCGACTCGGGCAAGGTCAGCACAGGGGCAGAGGCAGGGGCAGGGTAGAGGTCCGGGCCACCAGGCAAAGGCACGGGTGGGGGAAGATGAGCGGCGAATCGCGCGCGTCTGGACCAGGAGTCGTGTTGGAGATTCGAGTCTCGGTTCGGGCTCGAGTCGAAGTCCTTGTCACGGTCTGGGTTCCAGCCGGTCAAACGAGAGTGTCTGAATATTGTACTGTGGGAAGTCCACAGCGGTTGGTTAAACACGTACGCTTTCGCGACCAATATGCATAATACTGTATAGGGTTTTTTTTTGGGGTTCGATCGAATAAATGTAAACCTGTCATTAAACCCGCTACCACCGGACACAATTAGTAATGGTTGTCACGTAAACAGAACATGCCAATTCGTTACTAGTACAGCAGACCGGTGTGTTGGAGAGCAAATCCACAACATTTACAGTCTGAGTACGACGTTAATTACAACCGGCATCATCAAGCGGGCAGCCAGCGGTTGTGATGTGAATGGAAAAGTCCTCGGCGCACGAATGATTAATGTTATTCTCAGAGCTGCCAACGGAGATGATTGTTCGTTTGAGCATAGATACACTTGTACATTGGGCCAACCTTGTTGTTTGGTTCGATAAAGCCAGCACCATATTGCCAAGAGGCATTTCATAGTTCTATCGATAAAATCATCCCCTTCCCTGTCCCTAAAATGTGAAATCAATAAGTGGTTATGGACAGACTGGTCCCTGCCACGGGAGCGTGGCATTTCCACCGTGGGCTTCATCATTGACGTCCACGAAGATGAACACCGCGCCACGTTCGTTTAGCAGGGACACGCGTTTGGGTCCAGCTGCGATATTGTGGTCGGTTTCGGTCGTGGTGGCTTTTCTCAGGTGAGTCGGGGGTTTCCATCCTTCACTGTTTCCGACCTCTGCCCCCCCCCCACTTCGTGTCGCGCGCAGGGCCGGGGACTCGTGGCCAGAAGGAGAATCCGCAAGGGAGACGTCCTGTTCTCGGAGCAGCCTGCGGTGTCCGCGCAGTTCCTCTGGAATGAGCACTACAAGTATCAAGGTGGGGACGCGCTTGTGTTGTTATCACGCGACCTGTCACCAGCTCCCACCACTGACACCGGCATCAGCAGCAGCATGATCGTCGCCGTTGTATTTTCAGGGTATTGAATTGCGCCTTGTCCGAAGGGAGAATTGTTGGCACTTGCATGTAACGTGTGTGTTTGTGTGTGTGCGGGGGAGCGGTGTCACAGTGGTGTCCGCGCTGCCCTATGATCCCAGGAGGCTGGGTTGAATTTCCGGCCATGATACACAACATGAGTGGCAGAGTCGCACCCGAATATATCCTGAGCTTGCCCCAAGATCGACTTGGTCATAAATGAGTAGTACCTTATGCTGTATAATCATTCCCACTTGCGGCATAAAGGCCGGGCATACGTGATACTGGCCACACCGCTCTGTTCTCGCTACGAACTTGCCGCTTAAGCCTGTAAGGCTCAGTGAGGGAGCCTTTGCATGAGACTGTGTGTGTGCTTGTACGTAGCGGTTAGCGTGATGCACTAGGAACCCGTCGATCTGAGTTCGATTCCTGTTCACGGCAAACACCAGTGACGATTATCTGAACCGGTCCTGGGCCTCCCCTAGATGGACTCAGCCTAAAATGAATATCTGGTGCGGTGTTTAAACATCGCTGCTGGGGAGACAAAGGTGGCCGGGCGTGGTGCTGGCCATCCACCCCCTCGTGTGCCGTGACGGCCTTCATAGGTTCTCGCGAACAGCACTTGCCCCAACAGTCTGTCTCGGCTATACGGGGGATCTTTGTCTGTGTGACAGCATGTCACCACTGTCTCCGCGCGCTGGAGACGGCCGAGGAGAACGCGCGCCGCTTGACGGGTAACCCCGCGCTCTCCCTGCCCCACCCCGAACTCTGCCACATCGACACGAGCGCTCACCAAGTGTGTCCGGGCTGCCAGGTTCGTCTCGCACTGGGGCCGCCTAACCCCGCCCCTCACTCCATCTCACCTGCCAATTATATTATCAGCACACCCCTCTCCTCCCATTAACCCCACTCCTCCCACCTCGCCCTCCTATACTGATCGTCCCCTCCCACCAAACTCTTTCCCTCTCCTTGCGGTCCGCTTCAATCCCCACCCTTCCCCTCGCTCATACCTCAAGCCTTCTCCTCCCCTCCCACCTCACCCATCCACTCTCCCGCCCATACCCCTCCCATCCCAATACCCCTCATCTGTCATACACCACTCTTATCCCCTCTCTCTTTCCATCCGATCCATTAATCTCTCTTTCCCTCCCCACTCTTACCCTCTTGTTTCACCCCTCCACTGTCACTGGGTAATGATGATGTTGGTACGTTGTGGTGGTGGCGATGGCAATAATGATGATGGTTGTTGATGATAATGTTGATGGTAGCGGTGGTGATTGGAATGATGATGATGACTGACGGTGGTCGCCACCAAGATTGATCACCGCTCTCCTTTGGCCCCCTTGCAGGTGCGGTACTGCGGCACCGCTTGCCGCCAAGAGGCTGAGGCCCGCTATCACCGCGTGCTCTGCCCGGGGCCCTCGGCGGACGATGTCGCCCACCCGCTCACTCGGCTACGGGAGGCGTGGAGGTGCGGGGGGTCGTAGGCCTCATTGCGGCATCATTGCGGCGCGTGTTGTCACAGACTCAGCCGCGACGTGGATTTTTGCAAACCGTCTGTAAAGTCGGTTACTTTTCAGGACACCATCGTGCAAAATATGCACGAGGCGGAAGTAGCGGTGATCGCTAAGTTCGATTGGAAAAGAGTGCCTCTCGATTTAAATCGGCCTGCGAAGGTTGAAAAAGGGGTGAAAGCCTTTTTAATATTTGTCACTTCAACGCATCGCAATGACGCACACAAGAAGTGCATTGTTCCCGTGTGATTGGATGCGTGTTTTGATCGTGTAAGAATAAGTTATAACATAGGGGTTTTTTATTAGTTGGATCGCGTAAATATAAATGTGTTGTTAAACCCGCCACCACCCGACAAAGCCAATTAGTAAGGTTTGTCACGTAAACAGAACATGCCAACTCGTTATTAGTACAGCACACCGGTGTGTTGGAGACCAAATCTACAATATTTACAGTGTGTGTTCGACGTTTCGCCAGTAATTACAACCGGCATTTTCAGGCGGATAGGAAGATTTGTGGAGAAATCCTGTTTTCATTGCTTAAATAGAGGGATAAATTTGATGACATCACTTGTGAGTATAAGTTAGTTACGATTAAAGCAAAACATATGCTGTTGCTACAGTCAGTTGGATTAACGGAGCAAAGCAAAACTTTAAAAGACGTGGCAAGAAATGTTCACGAAAGAAATAGACTCCAAAATTCTAACAATGTATTGATTTATGTAGTAGGTTGGATTGTTTTTTGTCTTAACGTAAATTCCATTCTCGCTGTTGGTCAGGATGATGCACTACCCTCCTGAGACGTGTAGCATCATGTTGCTGGCGCGGATGATCGCCACCGTGAAACAGGTGAGTGGCGGCAGTGGTGGTACCAGCAGTGATTGGTGGGGATCCCACCCTTTGCAGTGGAGTGGAGATGTTGGTGGAGGCGATGGTAGTGATGATTATAATGATACAATTTGTAATGCGCACAGCATATTTCAGGGACATCAACGACTGTGACTGAGGCACGGAGCCAAGCTAAGTGTCGCTCGAAAGCCATGCGAGAGAGGTGGGGCCTTCAAGAGAGATGAACTTTAGGAGAGGTGGGGCCTTTAAGTGTCTCTATAAGTCGGTGTAGATTGAACGTCGCTGCTGCGAATGTGCAGCGGAACGATGGTAATGGCCGCATTCTAGACAGTGGGGGCTGCCACGGAGAAACTGCACCTTGCAGTGACGATGCTGGTGCTTGGTGTAAAAATGGGGTTGTGAGCCGTGCTGAGCAAAGGTCTTTCGTGAGCGTAGTAAACGGTGAACAACCGAAAGTAGAGCTGCTGGTGGCAGAGGAGTAAATCTTGAGTCTGACTGCTGGCAATGGGAAGTCGGTGGAGGATAGCTTAGGCAGGTGAGGGAATTGACCCAAGGATGACATGCACCGAGGACGATGTGGGGGCGACATGGTTTTGCAACCGTTGGGAGTTTCTCGAGGTTTGTCGATAAAGACTGCACAAGGATGGAGTTGTAAGAGTCGAGACAAGACCCAACGACGCTGCAGGCGAGGGTGTCGATGATGCCGGTGATGATGAGTGGACGTAAATGACGGAGGAAATCTGACGATGCGGTTGGTTTGGCTGTCACAGGTCAAGGTGACGTTGAGAGTGACGCTGAGGAATTTTATGGATAGTGGAACCAGCAATTATATTCTAGAAGGTAGCGTGGACGTGGTGAAACGCTTTCTGGTGCGGATCAGGATCCCTTCGGATAGGAAGGTGGTGGTGGTGGTGGTATGGCGGTGATGAA